AGGGTTACCTCACCTTCAGGGCAGACACAAATTTGTACGTCCTCCCGCCAATGAGCCTTCACTATTTGCTGACAGGGGTGTAGCTCGTTCACCGATATCTCAAAGCATCAATGCTGCGATAGGGCAGGAGAGGTTTTTGGGTCAAGACACAAGATCACAAATCCCAGAATCGCCGCCACAGTCGCTCGGCCTACGGTCGCAAGATGTGTTCGGAGATCGAGACTCAAGACCAGATCACGACGCCGTCTTTGCGGGAATGTCGGAGAAGGATAAATTTGGCATGAAGGGTTATGTGGCGCAGCAGGATAACGCAAGTCCAGCAGCCAGGAGTTTGATGAGAGGGGTTGATCTGTCAACGTTGGGGATCAACATGGGATCTCAAGAGCCGCTATTGCAGTCGTATCCTGGGCCATGGGCCGAACCGAATGCTGCACCGTTAAGGCCACTCGACTCGGAGTACACCATACCGGACTGCTACACAGTCAAGAAGATCGCTTCCTTATCGAGTCGGATCACCGGCTTCGTGGATGAAACGCTCTTCTTCATTTTCTACACCATGCCCCGAGACTACATTCAGATGCTAGTAGCTCAGGAACTAGTCGCTCGGAAGTGGCGGTATCACATGAGAGAGAAGCAATGGCTGACTCGAGATGATGCATCGCCCAGTCCAGTGTTGCTGGATGACAAAGTGAGTGAGCAAGGTTACTACATCTGGTGGGACACGAAACTATGGAAGAAGGTCCGACGGATATATACCTTGAGGTACGAGGATCTGGAGGAACAACCTAGCATGGGCAACAGACCGGTACACGCTGGCGCCATGGGTGCGATGTCGGGTGGCATTAATGGTGGTATGGGTGTGAACGCCGTGCCCAGTCTCGAGCGGATGGCTGCCAGCGGGCGAGGCTTCTAGGGCGTGTAGTGTTTGCGAGAGATGCTCCCCGCTCATGGTGGTGCTGTGAAGCCGCGATGTTTCCTGCGAGGAGGAACGCAGTTGTCACCGGCAGATATGCAGAAAGCAGACTCGAATGCAACTTCGTCTCCTGCGTAGGACGTGCTTCATCAAGACCCTCCGCGATGATCAGACGTGCTCAGACCGTAAACATTGTCACGGATCATCTGACGCGACTTCAATCGTCACAGGCCAGATATGTTCAACTTGCCAGTAGCATTCACACAGTGAGAGAAACGTGATATTTAAACAACAGGGAGCGCGCCGTTGAAAGTATCAGGTTGTCGTGGACTGTGTTGACATGTAGTGGGGCGCCTCTCATCGTCCCGAAACTCAGTCCTTTCACCATGACACTTCTATTTATTTAATCCCCGACACTCTACTGCCACTGCCTTTTAAAATACACCGGCAGGAACCAGAATCACACTGCCACTGGTGCCTTCCAGGGTGCCATAAACAACGACTTGGACTTGTATGTTCTACACAGACGAGACTGCTTAATCGGCCACGTTGCACTCACCACCATGCCGCTACTCTCCTGGCTCTCGCCATTCACAGGCAAAAATGAACTCCAGGAGGACGCCCTATCGAATCGCAGTGGATCACTCCAGACCGAAGAGACTCTTGCTGCCTATGTGGACTTCGAAGCGTTGGCCGAAAAGGTCGACGAGTTACGCTACGAGCTCGACAGGGCACGCGACATGTGTGAACAAGCCAATATACAATTCGACAAATACCGCCTGGAAATCTATAATCTCAAACAGCGGCTTGACCTCGAGAGAGACGCCTGCATCAAAGCCCATCGTATTGTCTTCAATGAAAGCAACCATAACAACCAGCTTCGAGCGCGGAATAGGGATCTGCAAACCAGCTTGAAAAGACAGACAGTCCACAGCGCGCAGCTAGAGGCACGGCTAGCTACGGAGACATCATCGCTGCGCGCGATGACCAAACATGCTCGCACGCAGGAGGAGCGGTTAATCGACACTCAATTGGACCTGGAGTACCTCCGTTGTACAACGAGCGATGCACGTCCATCACCGTCTCTCGCAGCTGTCAACAACGATGCTCCTCTCCCTGCCCAGCCGTTCGTTGTTGTTCTGGTGGATGGTGATGCCTACAAGGTGAGTGCCGGTGCTATCACGGTACTACCGTCTATTGACGCAAAATAGTGGTCTCCGGACATCGCCCTCAACGATCGACACCTAGGCATAAAGCCAACCAGCTACAATGTGGACGGTACAACCGCAGGAGCCATGGCAGCCACCAGGATTCGCAACGAAGTAACCAAGTACATTCTGAACCAAGAGGGTACCATTCCCATCACATCCAAGATCGTGACTCGTGGCTTCTGCAATTTCTCTATGCTCCCCGGCTCCAAGGGTTCAACCTGGCGACAGAATGGTTCCGGCGGCGTGGGCCTGGCAGAGTTCGCTTTGCAGGTGACCGAAAAATTACCATTGTTCGACTTCTTCGACGCAGGCCGGGGTAAGGAGAGAGCCGATGACAAGATAAGAGGTCGGCGGCCGCCGTTGACAATGCAAGCTCGACCCAGGACTAATCCCTCGACAGAGAACTTTCACCTCTACCTGTCCACGCCAAACTGCCACGCCATCTTCCTGGCAGCCTGTCTCGATAACGGCGTAAGTTTCCCTCAAACCATTTGGGGGGTAACACGGAGTGTACCAACCTCCGGTCTTCCCGCCATGAGGTTCGAGATCTAACAACGATATAGTTTGCGCGAATGCTCGAACAATACAACGACCATCCGATAGCTCGACAGAAGATCGTCCTCGTCTCTCCTGGCTATGTGAGTTGGCCCTCTGCTCTAAGCATGAATGAGACGTTGTCTCGGGTTCCCTCTTGATCGTCATTGCGCAGCAAAATCTAGTATGCTGATTCAGGTGCTGACAATTCTGCAGGTTGCCATTGAGATCCAGCGGCTGGGCTTCACCGAGACGCAGTGGCCAAGCGTGTTCGCTCATCAAACCCCACCACCTGCAGTCGCCGCGAACTTCGAAAAAGAGAAAACGAGGATCAAATTGCAGAGGGCACGTGTTCAGCGCAGTGCCTCTACGCCACTCATGGGCGGTGACAACACTACAGTACTGCCCAAGCTGTTGAACATGGTGCCCGCCTGGACGCCATGGAACAAGGCGCCGGTTGGCATCGGAATGAGGATACCACCGAGTCGTGGCGCTGCATTGGAATCCCTTGACCTTGCGGAGATAGAGGAGACGAGTGAGGAGGTTGACTGAGCATGCGACCGGGAAGGGCTTCGAGAGCAGGGACTACATAGGCTGACAGAGAACAGAATGTCGGTTCTGGGCTCGGGATGTATCATATGCTGGGAAGGGCGGCCGCTCGCGCTGCAAGAGATCTACCAACGCGGACTACAATGAATGGACTTGACTGGCCTTGTCACTCCACTGACTTGCTCTTTATGTGCTCTCAACTGTGGAACACCTGCTTCTTCTGATGCATTTGAAGCATTAGCTGCTTCGATGGCAGTATGGACACCGCCTGCCACAACGACGCATGAAGTAACGGACAAGAGCGCTTGTGCAGAAGTCCACCGCACAGGTACACATCATAGCAGCTTCTATCAGATGGGAACTCACAGTGCTTCAACTCATGAACAGGGTTCAACATTTGAAGCTGTGGTGATACTGGTAACACAGCTCAACTACGTGCCTCCCACATCCTAACAATGTATCTCCGTGCGTTCAGTCGCCTAATTCTATCTGCAAACGTCTTCGTATTATCATCAATCTACGCAAATGCTCACTCCCAAGACCCAAATCACCACCTCAACCAACAAGACGACCTCTCCCATTGGGGCGATCCAGACACTCCCTATGTCCATACACCCGACCCGATCCCGCTCTCCACTCGAGAACACTGGATGCGTCGGGCCATAACTTCACTCAGCGACTTGAACGATGGCTCGCCTTGTCCATTCGCAGCATTCGGATGCGTGATTGTCAATCACTCGGCTGTTTCTACGGGTAGAGGTGGAGTTGGGGATGTGCAGTTGGGCGTTGAGTTGGGCGAGGAGGTTTGTATTGGCGCGAATGCTATTGTGAGGGAGGGGAATCCGACGTTGCATGGTGAGTTGCTCCTGTTCTGATTGATGCTCGTCATAGTCTTTGTGGTATCTTACCAATACCACGTCCATGATGCTAACTTGATTCTGCGTTGATGATTAGGCGAGATCGCCGCCATCAACAACTGCACCAAGATCCTGACCGACCCTGAGGGCAAATACAAGCTCTCTGGTCCAGATGCGTTGAAAGCACTAGGTGACCTGAGTCTCTATACCACAGCAGAGGCATGTCCGATGGTAAGCCTCTCTCCCTCTCCTTCGCCCATCCATCCGATTGCCAAACCACGTCCACTCACTCACTCTCGATAAACGCAGTGCTCCTCCGCAATCCTTTACGGCGGCTTCCGCGAATACATCTACAGCACCTCGATCCCGACGTTGCGCCAGCACAACTGGCCGCAGATCGCCATTCGTTCGACCGAGATCTTCAATCGCAGTGTCGGGCGGTTATCGGCTCATCGGACCAGGATTCTAGGCGAGGTGTTGGCGAGTGAGACGGAGGGGCTTTTCACTTGGCAGTTTTCCGAGGATGGGGAGTGTCCTGGTGGTTGTGTCAGGGAAGGAGGTGGGGGTGGTTGTGTCAAAGGGGAGGGGAAGGGGGATGGGAGGAAAGATGAGTTGTGAGGAGTGGGAGCTGGGTTGCTAGAGATGGGCTCGGTGCACGGGGTCAATACGTCGACTTTCGTGGAGCCTAGATCAGGTGTTCCAGCCGTGCTTGGGTCGAGGCTTGAGTGTCCTCATGTCTGTGCACGTCCGTGCCCTTCCCACAAGACTTGTGACTCACCATCAAGCTTTATAATTTCGATCTGCTGAAACTTGTACAACAATCACCAGCAGAAGCAGAACGCAATATGGCGTAGGGGTATCATACCCGAACTTGGATCGGGTGACCTTGATTCCAAGGTTCGATAACAAGTATCGCTATTAGAATTCTAGCGACAAAGCGGTGTGGTGTAATTGGTCAGCATATCCGACTTTTAATCGGGAGATATTGGTTCGAGTCCAGAAGCCGCAAGCAGAATTCCTTTTTTGCTTCGAGGACGTTTTGAGAATGTGCGATGGAAAGGTGAGTTGGTTGGAGCTTGGCCAGAGAAGGTGTGCCCTGGCCGAGTCCGTGCTGAGTTGCTGCCTCAGGACGCGACGACATCTTCCACTTACGATTCGTTTTGACGCCTTTGGTATAGACTTTCGAAATGCCATACGTCGTTTGAGGCTGGGATATGCTGCTTCATTGTACATAGCAGCTTCTCAGCCTGCCAACCTACCACCTACCATTGTCTCGTGCATCTCAGCAGGAACTCATTGGTATTATTTGAAAGCTGGACGGAATGGCTAAAACACCGGACGCGCTCATTCCACATTGTCACCGCGAATTTCTGGGACTTATAACACTTTCAAGGCGGATTTACGTACCTGGAATTGGCTGATGTTGGAAGTGATTGAAGAAGTCGGCCGACAAGAAGGCCTCTTCGGCAGACTTTCTCCCGGTTTAAAATGACGACTCTCAAGTCGGTATGACAGCTTCCGACCATTCCACGTTTGCATCGCACTTGCTACCAGAAACTTGACTGCGGTCAGGGTTATTTACTCGACTATACTATGGCGATATCATTGACACCACACTGACTGTTCGTGCAAGAACTATGTTCACGCCATTTCCTGCCAAAAGCTCCGCGCTGTCCCTCACAATGTCACGACCAGTTTCTTTGCGCTGACTCCTTTTATATGCACATCCAGAGCATACTGAACCTTCTCCAGGCCGTGACCAACGACCTCAGGCTCGGGCGTCGCTCTAAATGATCCATCCGCCAAAGCCTTGGGAAGAAAAGTCTCATAAATGGCGGGCCCGACCTCGTTATCAACCAATGTATCCCCGAAGATAAACTGGCTCCGTACCCCGTTCCGCTTCCCTTTGATCCAGATGGAAGCCATACCAGAGAGATACGTGAACCCTATTCTCGGCATCACGAAGTGCTTCGGCATCTTCATAGGATCCATAGGGTAGGTGGCCATCGCGAGGACTCTATCACCTTTGCAGGATCCAAGAATGCTGATGCAAGCTTCTGCGGCGCCGTTGCCTATCGAGATTGCGCCTGCTGTTGTCCTTCCCTGGAACGCCTTTGTCAAATCTTGTACCACGGTCGGACTGTTGTAATCGAATGCTGAGATGGCTCCGAGGCGCTTGACGAAGTCGAAATTCCGCGGCGAGCAGGTGGTTATGACGTCGTAGCCGGCTGCAATGGCTAGCTGTATGGCATTGGCGCCGACGCTCGTCGATCCACCCCATACAAGGAGCGTCTTCCCTGTCGACTTTGCAGCTGGTGATGAGGGAAGTTGCAGGCCAAGCTGGTCTTTCTGGAAAAGTGCGCAAGCAGCTGTTGACAACCCCAGAGGGACAACCGCCGCCATCTCATAAGGGATCTCGTTTGGAATAGCCGATGTCATGTGCGTCAGCAAGTTGACGTATTCCTGGAATCCACACAAAGCAGGTGAGTTATGCTTCTTCGCCATTCCGACGGCGTGGCCGACCACACGGTCTCCGACCTTGAACCGTGTGACACCCTTGCCGACTTCGACGACTTCTCCGGCGACATCGCTCCCCAGGATGATCGGATACTTGACCCAGTCGTATAAGAGGTCACCAACGGTTTGCTTAATGAAGTCGAGTGGATTGGTTGCGACGGCGTGGTTCTTGATTGTGATTTGGCCGGGACCGGGCTTGGTATATACTGCGGACTTGACTTCGAGAGGGGACTTTTTGGCGGAAATTAGGTAGGCCGCTCTGTTCGAGGGAGCCATTTTGGATCGTTGCCTCCAGGTATGGCTGGGATAATTCGTATTGATATGCCTTTCTCGGCCAAGAAGTGATACCGTAGTCTGGATATGGAGTAGTCCTGGAAGTTGGACTTCTAAGTTGGAGGGCTTGGTTCTTTTTATGCGACTTCATTTCGAAAGCGACGAGGATGAATGTTATACTTATCTATCTGTCCGTGCTGCCCTCGAAGCGAGCGAAGCGAGACGGCGGACACGTTCAGCAGTGGAGAGAAAGCTGGCGGCATGACCATCCGACTCTCCATCGTCCGATCCTCCGATTTGCACATGTCCGCCCAAGTCAGTCACGGGCGGAAACTCCTTTGTCTTTGGGACTCTCTGCGAGACATTTCGATTTACGCGACCTCGCTTGTTCAGGAATGACATCGTGATCTGTCACGCCCATCGAGGATTAAGAGCACGTTGTCGTTGTCGCCTTGAGATATCAATGTGTTTGGTTGTATTCGGTTTTTTGGAGTGCGGACTGTTTACGCGGACTCTCGGACTTTCTGCTAGTTTTGAGCTTGTACGTCGCGACATCAACACTTCTCTGGCCTTAGGAGCTCACTTGTGCGTCTGCGCAATTACACCAGAGTCCCGAGAAACCGGATGAGATCTCGTCCTTGTAGTATGACTTGGAGCAATATCAACTGCCTCAAAATTGAATGTCCGTCTTGACGTCATACAAAAGCTGTTTTGAAGTCGATTTCGTATTCCCACTCTGGCGAAGGGCGCATATCGGACTCTTGCTCTTCAAACGCATGAAGCGCTAGAGCTGTTTGCAGCGCCTCCCGCGGATGGAGGTGAAGGAAAAATATGTCCTTCTCATTTGTCTATCCTATCCATCCACTCCTTGCCTACCCTCTCGGATATGGATACTCGAGGACGCCAAGATTCGGTGTCGCCAGCAGGCAGTTGTTCGGTAATCTGCGGCGAAACCATCGCGACAGTGTTCGACTGTTCATTGATAGTGCGGCTTCTCGGACCAGCGAAGTCAAAACAACAGGCCACTCCTATTATGTGGTAGGTGGTATCCGCGCTGCGAAACACAACCAACAAGATCCTCTCGGTGAGAGGGAGTAGAAAGTCACCCTTGACTGTGCGTCCTGGGCAATATACCAAAAAGCCATTGCTCGAAGTGCACCAAATCCAACTGTGAGAATTAGCAACTCTGGTGTCCCACCCAACACGCTCTCGGTGCTCTTGTTGTAGACTGAAGGCTTCAACGAACGAGTAGCGGAAGTCCGGGAAGCTGGGCAGTATGTCGAGAAAAGTTTTGAAATCCCGGTATCTGGTGTGTGCTTCGAAAGTTGGATCGGAACTGCCGGCGAACTGTACCAAGTCCAGGTGGCGCATCGAAAAATGACCATGGAGGAAGCTTGAGCATTGGTCGTTGTTTAGTTTGGGCTCCAAAGCAGACGGAAGCTTGATACGCAGCTCCTCGACTAGTGACAGGAGGGCGTGTGATTTGAACGCTCGAGGTTCGAAGGAGGAAGAAAGCCTGCAGGGCAGCTCGACCAAAGGGCAATTGTAGTCAGCTGGGACCCGATCGTGCTCCGGCAGGAAACTCAACAAAGAATACACTCTGTCACGGTTCAACGCGGACTTCGTATCGCGAAATTCTTGCAGCAAGCCCAAGACATCCTCGGTCCCTACACCAAGTGCTCGAGGAACTTGTTCCCACTTCCACATCTTGTAAGCAACTGTCTGTGATATTTCATGGAGCACTTGGTCGGCTTCGACGAGGTGACCTTGCGTTCGGAACTGCCATGTGCCAATATCTGTCTTCCATTCATCCATCTTGCGAAAGAAATGTTGGAATTTGAACCAAGGGAGCTCTCCGGCGTTAGAAAGGACAGTAACTTCTCTCGCAAGGTGGAGCTCTTGTAGAATCCATCTTCTTTCCCAGTATGACAGCTTCAGGAGCCGTAAGACCAACTTGAGCTTTGCTGGCAAAGTGAGATCGTCCGCCTCAAAATAATTCAATTCATTTTGCGGATAGTATAGACGCTCAGGAAGACTGGAGATATGTTTGAATGCCTGCAAGGACCATTCGGAGACCCAGCCTAACCACGCGATGACGCTATCAGCTTGACGAAAGATGCTCTCCATTCGAGCGATTTGATGGCCCTTTTCTTCAAGATTGGCTTGGTTGATGCACAGAGCATCCACCCAGAGGCGCAATTGGCCATTCTCTATCAAGCTCTTCTCTTTGAGCAGAAGCTGTTGCAGTAATAAGAACAGATTATGGCGGATGCGATGAATCTTCCCGTCGAGTTCGATGTCGACCTCCAGGGATGGATCACCCCATTCGTATGACAAGGCCACATAGAAAGGACGGGCTTCCAATGCGCATACCTCAAGGCTGCATCTTAAGAGCCCATTATCGCCTGGAGCTTGAATTCTCAGGATACGGATGTGTGTACTTGGGTTTGGCAACGGCTTGTCTTGGTAAATGCTGCTTCGCTTGGCTGGGATGCCGGGCTGTGTCTCGGTGACAAACATGTTGATTTCACTTCAGCAGGCACAAGAGTACCAACAAGGTTGAGTGGAGTGTATTGTGACCGCTATACGCGGGCAGAGTCTGAAATGCAACAGTCCAAAGCAAGAAAAATATTGAACATTCGACTCCAAAGCTGAAGGTCCATTTTAGAGGTCAAATTGACGATTGCATGGAATGTTGAGGAGATAGACGTACTGCCTCGTTGCGCATACCATTGTGGTCAAAAATCCTGCACAGCCACCCATGGTAGCCCTTTCGAGTTGAATCCCTGCACTGAGAATGCTTCAGACACTGCTTGAGTCTTTTGACCGGTCGCAGGCACTTTGGCATCTGCTGTGCGCTAGCGCGCCAACAGGCTGCTCCGGACACCAGAAACGTCCATCTCGTGTACGGAGCTTGGCCTGCTCTTAGCCAGTACTCAACACAAGCATTTGGCGAAATAGAATGTTTGCAGACACCGAGCAGACCTTGCGGAGGGTTCGGCTTGACATACAGAATAGCCGATGTGGTTGAGAAGTAGGACATTCCTTCTTGGTGCGCGGCGGTGGCCCATATGTAGGCAAAGGATTGGCTTCGGAATAATTGCCACGACTTTCCCCGTGACAGGCAGTTCGGGGCTGGTGACGCCTAGACCCGTGCCTGGCGATCGACACCAAGCTTGATGCGGGGTGCAGCTCACCAACAGCTTGACGCGTAGCACG